GAACTAAGAGTCATCTGTTCTAAAGGAAGGAATAATCTTATAAAATAGGTCATACAACATAAACTAACAGTGAAAACTGAAAGACAAGCCCGTGATGGTTTAAATTCAATAAAATAGTATTGGACTACCCTCTAGTGGAAATTCAACAGAATTCAATAAGTACAGAACTTCCCAAACATGTTTTCCTAGTTTTATGATAAAACTCACACTGTGGTTATTTCAAGAATATGAAAGCATATAGAATCTGGATAAAAAGACTACATTTCAACCTTACATACTGTCTTTCAATGCACAGACTACTATGCTGTTTACCTTACTATATTTCATGCTGTGGCTTGCATTCCAAATTGTTGTGTAGCACAAGCTAAACGGCAAAACATCCATCCAAACTCCACTGTCACAAAAAATGGCTTTGGAAATTTGTAAAGACAAGAGATTGTCACTAGCTTGTCAGCATCAGGATGGTTTATGCCAGCCTGGTTCACTGCTACAGCCCCAGACCATAAATCAGCACCTGGCCCACAGCGGACATCTCATACATACTGGGAACTGTGCTAAGTGCTTTGCATTTGTCACTCATTCCATCCTCCAGCTACCCTACAAGGCAGGTACAGTTAGCTCGAAGCAGACTGGTTTCAAGACCCCCGGGGAAACCTAAATCCTTGGATGTGCAGGTCCCTTATATAAAATGATACAGTATTTGCATATAACCTATGTTCATACTCTTGTGTATTTTTAATCGTCTCTAGATTATTTATATTAGCACAATACAAAAATATGTAAACAGTTGTTATACTGGATTGTGTAGGGAATGAAAGGAAAAAATCTATACATGTTCAATGCAGGTGCAATTTTTATAGTGAATGTTTTCTACACGCAGTTGGTTCAATCTGCACACACTGAACCTGCAGATACGAAGGGCCAGCTGGACTCTGGTGACCCTTCATTTTGCAGATGAGAAAACTAAAGCTTGGAGCAGTGAAGAAACCTGAATGGGCCTCAGACCAGGGAAGTTGTGGAACTGAGAAATCATCCCAGATATAAGAGTTCATAACTTTGTTTTCTGGTTTCTTGCATACCTTTATCACTTCTTTCTTAAACGACAAGTTTTACTAGTATGTAATTATCAATTAAACAGGTTTTTGTAAGCTGGATGGATCACATCGATAAAAAAAAATCAATATGAATGGATTAGCTATTGTTACTTAACAATTCCTGAGGGGCTCGGTAACCAGGAGTCATACTTACTAAGCTACAGGGTAGCACAGCTAAAAGCATCATCAGAAGTCTGAATTGCTTACATAATATAAAGCCTTTGCTCTTTAATAAAGGCAGACTCTCCAGAGAGTAAGAGGTAAGCAGCATGGAAAATGGAGAGACTGACTAGATATCGTATTAGCTCTGACAGGGAAAACGTAAAAAATTCAAAGTTAAGGTCAGTTACTGTTTTTTCTAAGTCACGTCTATTTTTTATTATTGCTTGACTCTTTAAGACTTGTAATATTATGTGTAAGTATTTACAGGTGATGATGGGAGGTATTTTGAGTTTACCAAAATGAAAATTCCAAACAGCATATGAACTTCTAAAACACTAAGTGCTTCCAATATCCAAATGTGTTGCATAAACTTATTAAAAGGAATTCACAAAGTTTTTATTTATTAATTTTTTTAAACTTTTTTTTGAGACTGGCCTGGAGCCCACTAAATGTAGCTTACACTGGCCTTGAACTTTGTATTCTTGAACTTTCCCAAGTGCTGGGAGTACAGGCATGTGCCACAATGCCTGTCAAGAATGTTTTTAAAACCTAACTCACAGGGATTTAGCTCAGTGGTTCCACTACCTGCCTCTCAAGCGCAAGGTCCTGAGTTTGATCCCTGGTACCGACCCCCCCACCCAAAAAAACCCCCCTAACTCACAAAGTCTGGCTTCACAATGGTTTCCAGTTGTAACAGAAATACTGATTCCATGAAACTTAAGTTGCTTAGCTAAACGTCTCACAATTTCAAAATCTCTGAGCTTATTCTAGGTCAACAAATATTGGGCCTCTGAAATTCCAAGTTTTCACTTGCTATTTTACACGGTGATTTATTCATTAAGAATAAATATCAGGTTAGTAAGTACAATAAATTAAACCTCAAAGGTAGTATATATTTATAAAGCAAATGAATAATTCAGTATATATGTGTATATATCAAACATCTAGATTTTAGATGTATCTTTTTAGCAGATTGAATTAGCTCTCCAAAAAGAACTCAATCTAAGTTAAACATATACTGGGGGTGGGAGGATAATTTACTTCAGTTTGAAGTGATTAGCTACCCAGAATAGAATCTCAGAGAATTCTTTAAGCATTAATTTGCCCTTAGTTGTAGATGTTCTCAGATTAGTAAAGAGAATTCAAGTGAGCATTTGGGAATCCCATCTAAGCCCATTTAAGAAGCCAAAATGCAGTTTCTAAAAAATCATGTAACCCCCCAAAATCAAATTTTTTCAAGATATTAAAATCTTAATTGGGCATGAAAATACAGTATATTCTAAGAAAGACATATAGACTGTACTTCCTAAACAGAATTAACTCTGTCAACAATAATTGGGCTGGGGATTTAGCTCAGTGGCGCCATGCTTGCCTCACAAGCTCAAGGTCCCCGGTACAAAAAAAAAAAAAGAAAGAAAGAAAGAAAGGAAGAATACTTGTGGCAAAATGCATGTAATCAAGACAGTGGCATTAAAAAAATAACTATTTGTAAACGGAATTTATTCTCAGCTAGGATAAAACAGAGGGAGGCTACTACAGGAGAGCATCTAAAACAAACATGCCAGTAAATGAAAAGCAAGTGACTCAAGAGCTATAGACAGGTAAGCTCTAAGAAAGTGGCCAAGAAGAAAATTCCGAATATCTCGAGGGCTACTTCCACTAGTTAGTTATCCAAGGCTGGGAAGGATCACAACTCTACCAACAGCAAGTAAGGAATGCAGAGAGCCACCACGGCCACTGTACATTTCTCCTAGAAGCCAGCATCGCTCCGCCATGCCTTACCTTCAGAATAACAACTCCCCGCACCCAGATGTATCTGTAATAGCAGGGACTCGAAGAGGACCGTTTGAGGAGACCGAGTGACAGATGCCATCCACTGCCTCATCGCCCCCTGAGGAGAGTATCACTATGGTTGGGATCCTTTTTTCTTTTGTTTTGGTGGTACTCGGGACTGAAACCAGGGCCTTTGCCCTGAGCTACACCCCTAGCCCTATTATTTTTTGAGTCAGGGTCTCACTAGATTGACCAGACTGGGTTTGAGGCTGTGATTCTCCTGCCTCAGCCTTCCAGAGTGCTGGGATTATAGGCGTGCATCACAAGACTCAGCTATGGGTCCATGCGTCTTATTAACTGTTGGGCCTGAGCCAGTCCCAGCCTCTCCAAGTCTTCCATTTTCTGTAAAGTGGGGATAATAAAAGCTATGTTTTACAGGGTTCTTGTGAGGGTTAGAGGCAGTATTTAAGAACCTAACAAACTCTGACATACAGGAGGTGCTATAAAGGCTGATGGTTATTACTAGCAACAGCATCCCATAAATTACCTCCTTCATAAATTAGTTTTGTGTTGCTTTAAAGTAACGCTGAAAAACAGGAAGAGATGACAGGGATATTAATCTTCTCATTTGTAAGACTAGATTAAGTTATTTCCTGTAGATTCCTCCTACTTCACTAACATTTTAAACTTGTATAAAAAATGATGCCAAGTAAAAATTACAGGAGGCCATCGTTTTGGTCTAAGCTCCTGTACTAGGCTCCAACAGATCAGGCCACAAATAAAAATGGATTGCTCATGCTAAAGTTCCACAGCACCAAACTGAAAGTTGTTTATCTGATCTTTCAACAAAATCAAGATTAGAAAGATAGAAGCTAAATTTCCTAAACAGGCTAGTTTCAACTGGCACAATAATGAAATATCTTCTGCCTTAATCCTTACACAAAGATACAACCTGAAGTAACCTGATGTTAACCAATCATTGGGGGAGGGGGCGGGGGGGCAGGGTCTCACTACACAGTTCAGGCTGGCTCTGAACTGTGTAACCCTGGCCAGCCTTGAACTCATGGTGATCCTCCTGCCTCAGCCTTCCACGTGCTGGGATTACAGGCATGTACCACTGTGCCCAGCGCCCAGTCATTCTTCTGTTGTTCTGTCTCCCTGTGCCCACGCTACAAAGAGACTTTAAAATGACCAATCTGCTTTTGTTTCTGCATTCTTCAGCCCTTTCTACTTGGTCTACAAATCAACCTCATTTGTTCAGCCCATCAGAATATTTACTCTATTTTATGGAATGAAGTGTTGCACAACTCTAGAATCATAAATAGAACCAATTAAGAGTGTCTTAATTTTGTCTTTTGATAATAATAAGCCATAATATTATCCTCAGATCTTATATTGTCAAACATAGACAATTTCTGGATATAAAGAAAAAGAGTATCAACATAATCTATCCAAATGAGAAGAACAAAAATAAATTTCCACAAAGTCTATATCCAGCCAAGCAGGTACCTTCATTGAAATGGATTTGCCTGCTCTCTTTATCAATATGAGATGGGGGAAAAAAAATTCTGCAAGATGTGCAGCTCTAGCAACCTAAATTTTAAAAGCAAGACCTTTTGGAACATCCTACTACCAGGACACACACTAATTAATCCTTCTTATTTTCTACATTTATACTTTTAAACTAAAAAGCCCTGTCACAACGAATCCTGGGTCACTTTATGAATCAACAAAAATTGCGTTTCCTGAGCTGAACTGTGGCAGTAATATCTTTCAGCAATATTTCTATACTTTAAATCATTTTCTATCTAATCCTTAATCAGACTATAACACTAGCTACAATTCACTATTTTCCAGAAAAGTCGGTTAACCAAGAATTTAATGAATTCTTAGCCCTGAAACTAGACCAAGTCCTGTGGAGACTATTTTCTTTCCTAAAAAGTGATGTACAGCTGCAAATACCAAACTTACCCAGATTTGCTGTCATGGATTCCAAATCTGCTATTAAACCCGGAAGCTGCTGCAGCTGCTCCTGCAACTCGATCAGGCTCGTCGTCTTCTTCTCCCAGTGCGCAGAGAGCATAACCACCTCACTGTCCACCAGCTGCAACACAGGCGAGAGGGCACAGGGAAACCCTAAGTGCACAGGAATTGCAGGCAGTGTGAGGAGATTCAGTCCATGTGGGTTTTAACAATCCTCTCCTGAGTACAGAAGTTGTTTTCCTTTTCAGAAAGGAACCCACTTCATATTCAATACAGGAAACCTCAAATTACTGCTTGTATCAGTGCATCTTACCCTAGAGAATGGAGTTCAAAAATGACCTTAGAGATTACTTCTAAGTATACCCTGTTTTTAAGGAAACTATTCATTAGAAAATCCAAACCTAGAAAAAAATAAAACAAAAAATTACCACTAACAATAGAGAGAAAATAAAAACAAATCCAAAACCTAATTATCAGGCAATTATTTGCTCTACAAAAGGAATTCTTAGGAAAATTCTTCAGTGCATTTTGAATATACTATGATGAATTTACATTTAAATAGGAACACTTCTCACATAAAGGTAAATGGTTCTGTACATTAAAGAATTACTGGGCAAATGGTCAATTCCAGAAAAAGAAGAAAAGGATTAAGTTAACAAAGAAGGAACTGAGATGTAAAAAGTCATAATAACAGGGTTGAGAGATGTCAGCCTAGTCTAAGATAATTCTTACTTCTTTTCTAAAGAAAATAACAGGCATCAGTTTCTCCCAGACAATTTCAGTGTTAACGTGGTGGGAGAGGAAAGGACCTAGAATAAGATGTAGAAGGAGCAGGAGAGGTTGTGGACCAACAATAAGCAAGAATTATGAGAAACACCCAAATCCTATACAATAAAAATAAATGTTCCAAAATCCACTGTTTAACAGAAGAAAATACATTTGAGTTTTATATACAAAATCAGAGTTCACAGTTAAAAAGGAGAAGATAATTTACAGTTTTCAAGACTAAGATTCTTCAAGAATTAAAATCTGAATACAACGGACTCTAAATATTAATAAAATAGGAAAGAAATTTAGAGAAATGAATATATCAAAATAAGATGCAAAGTTATTGCATGTGGTGCTTTGTTTTTTGGGGGTTTTTTGGTACTGGGGATCAAACTTGGGACCTTGCACTTGTGAGGCAGGCGGTGGAACCACTGAGCCAAATCCCTGGCCCCTTGTTTTCGTATTTTAATACAGCAGGAATCCACAAGTGGAATACAGAACTGAGCTATAACATAAATCCTGTTTTTCAGACAGCACTGAGGAATAAATGTGCCATCTCTCAAGTTCAGGCCCCACCTGACACCAGACTTTACACAAAGCACTTCTTTTTGGGGGAGGAGGGGAGATGGGGTCTTGCTGTGTTTCCCAGGCTGGCTTCAAACTCCCGAGTTCAGCTGAGTGTGGTGGCACAGGAGGAACATGGTGGCACTGGAGGTGCGTGCTGAGGCAGGAGGATATCCGAGAGTCCAAGGCCAGGCTGGGCTACAAAGCGAGACCTTGTCTCAAAAAAACCAAAACCAAAACAAACTTGTGGGTTCAAATGATCCGCGTGCCTCAGCCTCCTGAACAGCTGGGATCACAGATGTGTGCACCCCTGTGCCCAGCTTCATTAGCACTGTGTACGTAAAGGTGCCTGCAGTCAACAAGTCTTTATAAAAATTTCTGGAAATAGCTTTAAAAATACTGAACGTGCTAAGAGATACAGCTGTTTTGCAATGAGGAGACAATGGTTTGAAAAAAGGATCTTGCGTCACAACAACTCACTTCTAACATTCAACCAGCGTCTTTAGGACAGCTTAATATACTTAACCTAGCGTACAGCATATCTTTTAGAAAGCATGTTAAATCTTCCTCTGGCTAATTAGGTAATATCTGAAAAATCTTAAACAATTCTTAGATATTAACCATTTCTCACTAAAAAAGTACAACATATTCAAGTATTAAAACTGAACAACTGGGTGGGGTTTAACTCAATGGTGGAACACTTCCTCAGCATAGGAGAGGCCCTTGGTTCACAATCCCTGCCACTGCAAAATAAAGAAAGCAAGCAAGCTTAATGACTTTGTTTGTACTTTCCACAAAACTGTATAAATTACATTCTGAATATAGAACAAAAGCTACTTTTTATAGGGTTCTTGTGAGGGGACAAAGAATATATCAGAATGCACTAAAATATTTAATTTAAAAGAATGAGGGTGAGTGGACTCTTTAACATAATGATCAATAATTATACAATAATCCACAAAAACTGCTAAGCAATTTGCACATTATGTCATTTAAACCACACAGCAACTCTGTAAACCAACAATATTACCCTTTCTCATTTACAAATGAAAAGATAGATACAACGAAGCTAAATCCCTCCCCTAAGGACAACGGTAGACCTAGATTCAATTCCAGGGAATTGGACAATAAGCTCATTCCTTTAATTAACATACTGGGAGTTGCGCTACAGGGGTATATGAAAGGAAATCTAGCAAAATCTGACAATCTAGCAAAAGAAAGCATTCTGAAACTTTACTGCTACTGTCTCATTTTACTATTTGTAACTTTTTAATTTAATAAGAAATAATCTCCAGAAATTCAACTGTTTTCATCTCTAAGTAAACAGCTCTAAATAAATGCAGCTTCAACACCAGGAGTACAAATTTAAACCACAAGACAAAGGCAAAGTATTTCATTCCTAAATTCCTTCTAGTCCACTAAGGTTAGGAGAAAGGAGAAAATCTGCCAGAAATATCAACACTTGACAGTATGGATAATACTAGCACCTTGCTGTGTATGTTACGTTTGGATCTTAACTGGCTACATGCCTACATGCCTACATGTTAAAGGCTTGGTCCCCATCTGTGGTGCTCCTGGGAAGTGGGGCCTCTGGCAGGAAGTTAGGCCAAGGGCTGGGGGTGCCCTTGAAGAGGGTATTAGAACCCTAGCCTTTTGTCTTCTCTTTAATACTTGAGGTTGATCCCAGGGGCTTTGCATTGAGCTACACCCCTAGTCCCCTAGTCCTTTATTTATTTTTCATTTGGAGACAGGGTCTCATTAAGTTGCCCAGGCTGGGCTTCAACTTGCAATCTTCCCTCCTCAGTCTCCCAGAGTGCTGGGATTGCAGGCATGACCACCATGCCTCCCAGCCCCTTTCTTGTGTGTCCCAGCTGCCAGGGGATGAACAGACCTCCACTGCCACATGCTTCCCCCCATGTACTGCCCAAGGCAACCAGGCCAGGCAGCCATGGACTTAAACCTCTAAAACCCTGAATCAAAACGAATCCTTCCTCCTTATAAGTTAATTATCTCAGATATCTGATCACAGCAATGAATGTCTAACAGTATAAAACTCCACAGTTCAGAACTCGGAGGTTGCAGTTCGATTGATTTCTGAATAACTTTGGTCACCAGAATAAGTGGGGCTATTCCAAGTTACAGATGAAGAAACAGAGAGAAATGAAGTTATTTGCCACAAGATCAAAATAATGTTAGTGTGGCAAAGATGAGAAAAGAGGATTTCCAGCACCCGCTTCAGTTCACTTTCCATCCTAGAGGAAATCCGCCTGAAGACAAAGAAGTGAAAGAGTGTGATTCAACTGGCTTACATATCAAACTGTTAGACTTGAGAGTTCATTTTGAAGATGAGTATTTTGCAATAGCAGTAACTACAAGGAAAACACCAGAAGTCTAACTTCAGAAAACTGTCCTTAGAGTCTAACCTCTAAGTCATTATTAACTATTCACTTGGAGATTGCTAAGTGAGAAAAAGAATCAAAGAAATCAAAGAACTTGTTTAGACAAGGCCTAGGCAACAATGTTACCACTTGTTTTATAAGATACTGTCTCAATTCTTTTTTTTTTTTTTT